AAATAAATATCAACAAAAACCAACAAATTCCTGTCTTTCTCTTGTTTTCCTACATCAGTAGATTTTCATGTCAAAGATCATTAGTTCTTTTCAGGATCAGAACTGCTATTTTTACTTGATTGGTTGAACAGTTATTCTACACCTCCAGGGTGTAGTCCTGGAGGTTCAAAAGTTGTGTGTGTTGTTGTTTTCAAGTCTTTGGTGTGCGTGCTTTCACCCTCGTATCTACAGAATCAGTACCCTGCAGCTATATAGGTCAAACTGCCATATTATTAGACAGTGGGGGTGTTGTTATTGTTTGGGTATTAGTGGAGGCCCTGCTTTTGGTCTCCTGTGCTCTTTGAAAGCAGATCTTCAGTGAACACATGCTACAGATGTCCTATCACACACAACCACAAAGAAGCGAAGGAAGAAATCAATAAAAGCTACAGGAGAAAGGCTTACCTTTCCATTCTCTTCTTTTAAACTCCTCTCCTCTGTGACATTGCAGGAAAATCGATGCATTGTATTTTAGATGCCCCTCAAAAAAGAATGAAAAAAAATAATAAAAAAAATGTGTTGTCGTTAGTAAGGGAAATATTTCATGTGTAGCGTCTTTCAGAGCATGTCAAAGCACTTCCTGATAAACTAAATAAATCTGAAGAAAATAAATAACAACTAGAGAATTAGCCTAGCAAAAATGCAGTGTGAATGCTTAATGCTGAAAGATTTTTGCTGAAAGCTGCTGAAGAAGCTGAAGTCAGGATGAAAAAGTTTCATAGCAAAACTGTTATGCAAGTTAAATATAAACAGCTGACTTTTGCTGAAAACAGGGCAAATAAAATGAAAAATCATCAGAAAAGTATCTAGTTCAAAAACACTGCAAAATAGCTAAAGCAACTGAAATTTGCACAAAAACAGCTAGTTCAAAAAGTTACAGATTGTTGTAAAATAGCTAAAACAGACAAAATGAGTAGAAAAATATCTAAAAAGTATGTAGATGAGAAAGCTGAAATGAGCACAAAGAATCAGAAAGAGCATATTTGCTGAATTAAGCAGTAAGAAGTTGAAATGATCACAAAAGTGAGTTTAGCTAAACAAAAGCTAAAATTCACAAAAAAGGTAACTAAAAGGATCAGACAAATAGCTGAAAAGAAAAAAAAAAGCTAAAAGTAGCTAAAAAGAAACAAAAGAAAGCTGGTTTTAGCACAAAGGAGTTTAAAAAAGGTAGAAGTGGAGAACAATCTGAACATTAGGATGGGTTTAAAAAATGTTGAAGACAACCCAATTTATTTTCAATGAGAAAAAATGGCGGTAAAAGCTAAATATATATAAAAAAAAGTATAAATTGCTGCAGTACCAAAAGTCATAGCAAGAATTCCCAGAAGGAGCTGAATGTTTTGATGAATAAATTGTTCATATAGCAGGAATATTGTGAAATGTACAGAAGAAAAAAATATAATCTCAATAGTGTGGATGCTTGGTAAGCATTCACACAATAAAGTAATAGACATAAAAGATTGATATATTGTTTTATTTCAAATAATGTAGGTGATAAACAATGTTATCAGCTGTTTCTTTGAGGAATCATCACTGTTAATACACCTTTAAAACAAGGACTATTCAACACATGAGTTGTGCCTGCTTTAGTAAAAGGTCAGTCCCTGTGGGACTTTTTTTGACCCAAGGATTAAAGTCAAAAACTAAAAAGAGGGAAATTTGTTTCAAATCAGTAGTTTAAAATTACTTTCAACGATTGGCTTTAATTAGTCTTACTTTACACTTGTTTTCGCAAACAAACTGGGAGTCTAAACAATTTGTTGCTTTATTTGTTAAACCATGCTATCAGGGCAACAATTTCTTTGACTTTAATGAAAAGAAGTTAAGTTTTAACAAATTCTTAAGGCCTGACAAGCAGACAAGGGAATCTGACAATTAAAATAACTCAAGCATTCTCAAAAGAAATGTTATTTGCAAAAATGATCAAAGAAGTTGCTAAAATTAATGATAATCTGACCAAAGCCTTTCTAAATGAGTTCCTGAATCCCCTGAATTCCCATTATTTACAGTGTTTAGTATTTGAAAAAAAAAAGAGGAATAAAAGGAAGATCCTTTGTTTGTTTTCCAGGCGGGCCAGAAGACAGGACATTAAAAATGGCAATCCTGCCATTCAGTGCTGGGGCACAGAAGACAGTATGTAGATCTCACGCTGTTCAGGGTTGATCTCATGTCACTGTTTGTAAATGGTTTCACTGATTAATCATTTCTTATTTATGGAAACTTCACAATGCACTTTTCTGTAGATTCACAAATACATTGTTCTGTTTTCTGCAGGTCTTGGCGGGGCTGAGGCGGAGGAGCGGATTATTTTTGGTGTTCAGAACAACTCTACCTTCCTTGAATGTATCCCCAAATCTCAGCAGGCCCAAATCCAGTGGTACTTCCAGAAACCTGGATCTGAACGCAGAGAAGAGGTCAGAGCCATTGACGCACACATTTGTATACAAACCAGCTCAACAGCCTCGCATCAACAACGCTGACAATTTTAGCTCACTCTTCTCTGTAATGTCTGGAGCTGATCCATGTATTGGCTTCTTTTTTACAAGGATTTTTCTTGACAATTTAAAGCACAGAAAAGTTATGAGGCTGAGACAATTATGTCTTACATAACAACTCCAAGAATCCAAAAACATTACACTTGACTTGAGCCTCGTTGGCTCTGAAGCCGAAATCGTAAACCTTCAGCTACAAATCACACATCACTCCCTGTCTTACTGATGTTTATGAGCGCTCATGATTTTCTGGAAATATTTGAAGCCCTCCAAGAGTAGTAGGGAATGCTGTTCTACAGCAGATTTGTACACATATGTTATGGTGGGGAAGTATTGATCTCAAATTGTTCTAAACATGACTACTTTGATTAAAAATAATCAAATGTAAGCTTTTTTAACAGTGACAGCAGTTGATCTGAGACAAACCTCAGAAAAGGAGTAAAAGAGGGTATTGTGGAGTTACAATAAGGAGAAATTCAGACCAAAGCATTACAGTTCTACTTTATATAGATGAATGATTTAAATGTGAAAAAGAAGGATTTAAAAGCATGACGTCTCCTTTAGAAAAAAAAGGAAGGGCAAAGAAAGACAAACCGACAACCTGGTCCTATCTTTCACTAATCTTTAAAGCCATGCTATCCCAAATTACTGCTGACTCATCATCTGTGTCACCACTTCTCACTCTCCTTCTTCTTTATTCCTGACACTGTCGCCCTTTCCTTTATCTTAAGGGCGAGTTTAAGCACCAACAGGTGCAAAGGCTGTTAAAGACCCGTGTTCCCTAACAGACTCACACTTCAGACAGCTCTGTGTTTTTTTATCTGCGCGTGTGAACGTGTGTTTTTTTTGTGTGTGTGTGCATGTGTACGCACAAATACGCACACACACAGAGCAAATCAAAACAGAGCACTCCCCAGCGACAGCCATGTGTTTTGGGGGTAATGAACTCAGTGGGGTGTTTTCTTTGTTTGTGTGTCTGGGCATGCTCTGATCTGTGACCTGTTGGACTCTAAGACAAAGTGATAAAAAGTGAGTAAACATTATGTTTCTCTCATCCATTGCTTCATTATTTTATAGGAACAGTCAGAAAACAGATCCAACACAATTTAAATGGAAACAAAAAAGAGTATTTGTTAAGCGATTGTTTTTGTCCCTGCATATAAAAAGCAACATTTTTATGGGACATGATTCATTGAAACTTGCAAATTAATAGTCGACCAAAAATGACTTTACTGTGTAATGTTTTTTAAATTATATATATATATATATATAGATGTTTTGACATGATTTAACCTTTTTTGTAGATACAATAAGTGATTCTATTTACACTTTGTAAAACTCATCTTGACTTCTGCTATGTTTTAATTTTATTTGTACATTTTAGCTACAGTATTAAAACATTGATGCTGAAGCAGAATCCTCAGTTTGAATTAGCTGTAGGAGGTGTGCAGCAGGTGATGTTTCAGGTGGGACTAATCTCTCAGTCTTTGTGTTTTTTTCCTCTCGCTGTGTTTCCCTCTGTCTGTCATCCCCTTTTCTTCCTCGTTAGTTAACCTTACTCACCAGTCCCACCCTAATCTCTCTTCACTCGCTCGCCCTCATGTGTCTCAGTTTGTACACGTTGTTCCTTCATACCTTTCATGTTGTTTCTACAAGTTCCCCACTGCGTTGCCCTGCTGCGGTTTTGGATTTGGATGGAGGCATCTTCCGCCAGCTGTACACAGCACCTGCATCCCAGTCAAATATTCAAACCCCTCATGCTCTGCCCGTAAAAGTCCGCTAATAAACATGTTATCTGGAAGGAATTAGGTTGTCTTCCTCCTAAAAGAGCTTGGTGACAGTTGGGGCTAGGAATGCCAAATCATTAAGAAATTACTAATAAGAAAAGCATGGAGGATGACGACTCTCATGGAGGGAAATCATAACTTCAAAGCTTCCAAAAAGCGCAGGGCATTAATTTTACACTTGAACTATGGAAGTAAGAGGTAATCTCAGATTTTTTGTTTGTTTTTTTATTATTCTATACAATCTTAAAAATTTTTTTTTTTAAGTTGCTTTTCATGCGTGCAGACAAACACTTGTCACTTTTCTATGCTGGAGTTCTATCACTTCCTGGAGGATGCTGGCTTAGTTACACCATAACACACACACACACACACACACACACACACACACAC